AACCTCCTCCTGCTTTGTTAACTCCTGCACAGGCACTGAGAGGCCAAGTCTGACCCCAGTTCCTCACAGTGCCAGTACGTGTGACTTCATGGTTATGTAATTGTAATTTTCTCTATTTCAAGTAATGGAGTAGAAAAAGTGAGTTGTTAGATTTATCCAGATGTGAGGTTTTGTAATGGCTGAATGTTCTAAGGAAGGAAGGGGATGAGAAAGCCACAAGGTACTAAGTAGAGGCTAATAACGGTGGAGCTAAGGTGTGATGCTTTGGGGTACGGTCATCCCCCCTTATCCCAAGACCCCCAGTGGATACCTGAAACTGTGGATAGTACTGAGCATTGTATGTACTATGCTTTTTTATATAGAATACACCTATGATTAAGTTTAACATAATTTAAGTTTAGCATAATTATAGTAATATATTGTAATAAAAGTTATGTGAATTTGATCTCTTTCTCTCAAAACATCATGTTGTATTTTACTCATCCATTTTCAAATCACAATTGACCACGAAAAACTGAAAACACGGAGAGCGAGACTGTGGGAAGGGAGGCTGCTGTGTATTACAGGCTAGAGCGGGAAGAAGCAGGGCAAGGTGCCTGGGAGAAACTCGGGAGTCCACAGCCGGGATTTGCCTGCTGGGGCAGAGGTCTAAGATTGGGACAGCAGCCTCACTCCTTTTTCTGTCTCTAGGTAGTTAAAATCAGACTCGTTATTTTTAAAAAATGCTTCACTTTGTATATTAGGTATCATCTTTATTTCACAAAAGGGACTTAATCTTATTTCATCTCTAAGTATGTTGTAATTAAAAACAAGCTTGTCTGTGGTATCAATTCTGCCTTCTTAAAAAGTATTTTCTGGGAATTATAAAATCATTTCTTAATATACTAAGTTTTCCTCTGTTCTTTGCTTGCTCTTTCATCAAAGAGGATACTTCTGACAAGATGGATGGTAAGAACTTCCCTTTCTAATTCTACTAAAGAATTTTATGACTCTAGTATTCTGTATAATATCCTTGCTCATTCTTCTCTTAACTTCTAAAAATACACTACTTCTTCAGCAATAATCATGTGACAAATGGATGCATAATACTCTGATTGAATTTGGCGTTAGATATATCCATTTTTGGGTTTCCCAATTTACTAAAATACTAGGTTACTGTGTATTGTAATTTATATCAAATAAATATTAAGCTTTTTTAACCTGTGCTCTTAGAAGTATGCTTCTAAATATTTTTGAGTTAAGTCTTCCTCTAAATATCAGAGAATTGGAAAGGAATCTCATAAGTCATTTGATTTCAGCTCTTTACTGAGTGATAGACAGCTGCTATTTTCACAAGTTAAGATGTTGTCTTTTTAAGAGTCAATTTTAAACTAACATGTAATCAAAACTGAACTTACTGTAAGCCTTGCCTTCTTAATTTCAATATTCACATGGTTACAGTTTATCTGTAGTTGCTTGGTTGAATAACAACCCTGTGTATTTTTTTTGTCTGATACTAGACAGCATGTTCAAACCTTACCTTTACTTCATCAGATACTGTAATGTTATCAAGGAGCTTGAACTTTGTAAAAGAATTTCTACTAAGATACTAAATCTGTAAGTCCCATTATGAGATCTAGGAGAAATGGAGATACTTTTTTTTGTCAATTATTATTACATAAGCTCTGAAAATTTATCTAATACATTTCACTTTAGTAAAGGGGATATTTATTTAATTGTGGGTGGGGACATGAATATTGATTCATCTCTGTTTTTCTGTATGATTAAAGTAGTTTATAATTTTAAATTATTGACTGAAGTAACAGCCCATCAAGATATGGTTTATATACGTCAGGTCCTTAAGTAGCCCTTATAATATTGATATTCTGGGTTCTTTAAAAACTAAGTTTCAGAACATCCAGATCAGAATATTTTCTTGTTTGGGTCAGTAACGTCAACCTATTTAAGATTTGCATTGGGCCATTTTTTATCGATCTCATTGACAGCTTAGGGAGTTCATGTATATTTTGGCTAAACAGCTCATGAATTGGATTACTAGGTCTTTGGCTTTGTCGAGGCTGTAGTGAGAATACCAGGCAGATGCAGAGCGAGGTCTTAGAGTTGTTTGATTTCCATGTTCATCAGTCACATTTTTCTGGTTCTTTTATGGGCTGCCTTTTGAAAACGTGCAGAATGTATTTCTCCTCTGGAGGAGTCTTGCAAATCTTTATTTGCAAAGAAGAATAATTACAGATGTACATCTTAAGTAATTAATTTCTCTAACTTTTTTCATCATTTTAAATTTTAAGAATGAGATAGGTCACAGTGTTCTTCACAGGGTTTTTGCCATTTTCAGTTGTCTGTTTCAAGTTTTTTGTGTGTGCTGTGAATCCTCAGGTGACCTCAAATTTTGTATTTCTCAACATGAACCTTTTCAAAGTTAATTTAAGGCTATCAGACTAAAAATTGTTTTTTATTTTCACCTTTGCATTTTAGTCTCGGGTGGGGGTTACAAGGTAGGTCTTAATATCAGCATTGGCAGAATTTGTTGAAATACTGTTTTATTTCTCTTATTTAGGAACAGCATCTGAAGATGGTAAGAAATATTTTGCTAGTAAATCAAATACCTCTGAATTAACGATTTTCATTGGTAGGGATTACATATTAAAACTAAGTAGGCTGACTTCTTTGCACATCTTTATAATTTGCCAGCTTTGTAGCTATATTTTTTTTTATGTTTGGTTACATTGTAATATGTGTGAATTTTTTGTTTTTAATTCTTCATCATCCTAAGTTTTGTTTTGTATATTGGATCATCTCATGCTGGAAAAATATAAATTGCTTAACATGTTTAATAATATCTAGTATAAAGTTAGCACATAATATCACATTTTCCAGTAATGAATATTAATGCTTTTCTTTTTCATGTTTTTTGTTTTTAAACATATGCCAGTTCATTTATACTTTGGGGGAGCATGTGCCATTGTTTTATCAGTGGAGTTTAAATATTATTGGTATTTGGGGCCGACAAGTGGCATGGTAGTTAAAGGTGCTGGATTCCCACATAGCAAACTGCAGTTCGAGTCCTAGACCTGACCTATTAGCTTGCTTTCTTTCTCTCTCTGTCTCTCTCTCTCTTTCTCATTATGTCCCTCCTGGTCAAATTAAAATAAATGAATACGGTTAAATAAAATAATTCTTTAAAAATTAAAAAAATTTATTGGTGTTTATATGCATTTATTTAGTTGTCTTCTGAATTTATATTTTATTTTTGAATCAGTGACTAGGTAATTGGTCATCAGTTCAAACTGAACTTGAGATTACAACAAAATTACTATATATATATATATTTTACCAAATTAGTTCACCTTAAAAATAATTATTCATTGCTTTGAATTTGTGGAAAGAAAATGAATCCTGTTTTTGTATTTTTAATTCTTGGAGACTATCTTATTAAAGCCTCTGATATGAAGCACATTTTTTTAATTCTAAGTTTTACATGGATGACATTTTCTTGTGATATAACACCAAATAGATTTAAATCTTTTTCCCCCTTTGATCTCATATTTATTCTGATATATTCAAAAATAGTTGTATATTTTAAGTTTTCAGAGTGCTCCATAAAAACATTATTACTCACACTGTGACATTTATCATTTAAAATATTAGTATCATAATACTTAACATATCCTAACTCCTTTGTTATATAAAGTATAGATAAATTCTCCAATTCAAAAATAATAATTTAGGGACCAGCAGTTGGCGTAATGGCTATGTTGCTGGACTCCCATGTAGTCGACTGCGGTTCGAGTCCCGGACCCGGTGTCTAAACTCACACCAGGCGCAAGTGCATGCGTGCCCAAGATCCTGAGAGGAGGATGGAGGAGAAGGGATTGCAGCATGGCCATCCCCCCAGGGGGGTGATTTCTCGCTTTCTGTCTCTCTGTCTCTCTCTTTGTGGTGAGCTTATGCACCCGATAGCAAAAACCTCTCCAAATAATAATAATAATTTAGTCTTTTTACTGTACTTTTTAGTGAAAAGAACATTGTGTTCTAGTGAAAACAGACTGTGAAAAAACAAAGAGGCCTGAACTCTGGGCTCCTTAGGGGCCTTGAAGTTGATAGAATGCTAGGACGCTACCATTTATACTTTTGGCGTTGCCTCTGTTTTATTCCTGGTTCTTCTCTCTTATCTTTCCTCATTCATTTCTAAATTTTATAGTTTCTTCTTACTCTGTATTTTTTTCCCAGTTAATACGTCTAAATTAGACTAGTCTGTATTTTTATATACACCCTTCAGATTGTGCCTTCATCTGCAAAAGGCCCTCCTTTTTAAGTGTGTGGTAGTTATTGGTTCAGAGTTGGTAGTGGTTGAGACTATTGCTTGAAAACACCAGCATACCTGCTAATAATATATTCTATTCCTTGTTTTTAATTAATGTCAGCTCCCTTAAGCACTTTGCTAAATATGTCTTATTTGGTTCAAGAGCTCTAAAAATGGGAAGAATATGAGTTAGTTTTGTTGAAGGAGATAAAGTAGTCTTAGAAGAGAAAGGAGTATAGCTACAAGATAGAGAAAGAAATATATTGAGAAAAATACCAACTCATATTTATTTCCTCAAATGATTTTATAAATGCAAGGAGTTGGTTGGCAGAAGAGAGCAGTAAGCATGAAATATGAAATAAAAGATGAAATATTTTGCCCAATTTCTCTTGCTTCAAATCCCTTTAGAAGTACATTTTCAGGGGCCAGCAGATAGTGTAATGGTTATGTCGCTGGACTCCCACATAGTCATCCTCAGTTCAAGTCACAGGTTTGATGGCTTAAAACTCACACTGGGCGCCTGTGTGGGTGCCCAAAGTCCTGAGAGGAGAATGGAAAAGAAGGGATTGCGGAGTGGTCTTCCCCCCTGGGAGTGATTTTTCACTTTCTATTTCTCTGTCTCTGTGTCTCTGGTGAGCACATGCGCCCTATTGCAAAAATCTCTCTCTTAAACAAAAAGGACATTTTCAGTCAAGAAGATTTGTCTGGGTCATTGTTTCTGAAATTTAGGTTAATATTTAACATAACTACTATGGAAACTAATATTTTAGAATTGAAACTACCAATTAAGAAACAAGTGGCCTGGAACCAGTAGTTAGCATAATGGCTATGTCGCTGGACTCCCATGTAGTTGACTATGGTTCAAGTCCCGGACCTGCTGGCTTAAAACTCATGCCGGGTGTGTGTGTGTGTGCGTGCGTGCCCAAGATCCCAAGAGGAGAATGGAGGAGAAGGGATTGCAGCGTGGTCATCCCCCCAGGGGGTGATTTCTCGCTTTCTGTCTCTGTCTCTCTTGGTCTTGCAAGCACATGCACCATATAGCAAAAAAAGCCTCTCAAAAAAAAAAAAAAAAGAAGAAGAAGAAACAAGTGGCCTGCTAGTTATAACTACTGGACTGATATTATGAAACCAAGAATGGAAATCTTTAGTTTGACTTTATGCTTACAATTGAAGGAAAGTGAGCTTACAGTGCGACACATAAAAAAAAGGTACAGCCGTGCAAGGGTTTGGTCAGCAGTAGACAGCACATGTGTTGGTGGTCCCATAAGAAGCATATTGGCTATATATAGATACCCTAGGTGTGTCACTTTCTCAGTTGGTGTAAGTGCACTCTGGGATACACGTGCAGTGACAGGATCACCTGGTGATGAATTTCTCAAAACACAGCCCCATCGTTGACCAATGCATGGCTGTATTTTTTAAATTTTAAGAGAAATATGACCTGTCAGGAATGGTTACATTATTTTAGAATTTAAAAATACTTAAAAATAGATCTTTTTTTTTTCTCCCTCGTTACTAAATATTATTATCAAAATGGCTGATTCTGTAAAATATTTTTCTCCTCAGGTCGCGTGAGAGCAAAGCTTTCAGCACCACTTTCTGGCATGGGAAATGCCAAGACAGATTCTAGAGGGAGGAGTCGCACAAAGATGGTGTCTCAGTCACAGCGTATGTATCGCCTCTCGGTCTTCCTGTCTGTCAGAACGTTAGGATAAGTGTGTTCCTTGTATATCACTGTATTAGGAGATTGACCAGTGGATGAAGACAAAGCTAACTTCAAAAAAAGACAAGCCACATACTGAGTTCTTGTTCTGTACTTTAGGTTCATCATCACCTGACAAAAATGAAGGTATTTTTTTCAGTGTTTTGGGTCAGTTGTGCATGTTTTGGAACTTTTTGAGTGGGTGTTGTCTTGTCTTTGGTGTGTATTAGGGCTGCATCATTAATATCTGCCACTTAGAAAGAAAAACTTCATCTGCCGTACAAACGTTTGCATGGAGATATTTAAATAGCACAAATCCTTAGCATTAAGTTTTTCACATTCTCTTCAGAAACTTGCAAATGTAGAAAATTGCACCTTTTAGAGACAAAATAATTGCCATATATTACTATCAAAATCTGGTTGCCTCTAGCTAATATTGCTTAAGGACAGATATAGGGTATATTCTTATTATTCCCTAGAATCTACTAGAATACCTTCATGCATTTCAGGAAGGCTGTGAGGAAACACGACCCGTTCTATTACATGTCTTGTTAAAACAGTTTCTTCCCATTCTTTCTTTAACAAGAGATTCTTCACAAGTACTTAACTCTCAAACCAGGATATTTTTCTTGAGAAGTAATCATTGGGGTTATTGGCTACCTTGGAAAGAAATGGAATTAACTGTCTTCCACTATTATTTAAATGATTTATTGGATCATGAATATCCTGTTAGTTTTATGACCTGATTCCCAAATCTCGAAATCAAAGGAAAAAACTGCTTGGAGAAAAAGCCCTAAAAATAAGCAAAAACGCTCAGTATTGCGTATTGAGGATTACTTATAAATAGGAAAAAGAACAAATAACCTTTACTCAGGGGCTTTTCTCTCAACCAAATCAAGAGTAGATTGTATTGTATTCTTCCCTAATCTCGTTTATTTCTGAGGTGATTTTTAGAGGACCTTAACCTTCACCAGTGTAGCACGGTACTTGGGAGTCTTTCTCCTTCATATGTGCTGCCCAGGCTAGTATCCTCATCGCCGGGAGCTATTTACAAATGCACACTCTCCTCTGCCATCCCAGAAGTACTGAATCTGACCCTTAACAAGATTACCGAGTGATTCCTACCACAACAAAGTTTAACAAGTACTAAAAAGGAAAGAAAGAAAGAGGGGACCAGTGGGTGGTGTAGAGTTTGAGGCACTGCATCCCATGTGACTGGCTGCACGATTCAAGTCCCAGACCCGACAGCTTGAAAATCAAACAGGCACATATGTGTGCATGCTGAAATTCCCGAGAGGAGACTGGAAAAGAAGGGATTGCTGTGTGACCATCCTCTTGGGGAGTGATCTCTCACTTCCCCTGCTCCCTTCTATCCCTGTCTGGTGATTACATGCACCCTGTAGCAAAAAAAATAAAATAAAATAAAATAAAATAAAGTATAGGAAGTAATGATTTAGATCTGGAGCCATGCTGCCCAGGTTTGAATCCTAGCTCTTCTGGGTTATTTAAAGTTACTGTACTTATATATAGTCATTATAACATAATGGGGATAATAGCATCTACCTCATGAAATCGCTCTGAGGATTTTTTTTTTTTTAATTGCCAGGTAGCACACACACTCACCAGAGAGAGAGAAATAGAAAGAGGGAGAAAAGATCACCCAACGGGTTGTGATCCACCACAATCCCTTCTCTATGTCTCCTATCCTCTTGGGTTTATGGGCACACACATACGTGTACCTGACATGGTTTTACTCAGGCTGCTGGGCTGGGATTCAAACTGATCAGCCATGCAGGATCAACTCTTTTAGACACTAGGCCAGGAAGCCAGCCTGCTGTAATATTTTTAATATACGTAAAACAGTGCCTGGCCTAGAGTAAGCACTATATACATTAGCTGGTAAAATTGTCCTCATTATTGTTCCTAATCAAACATCTGCTGAATTTTGTACTGCTGTTGTGTACTCCCACACCTTGTTGTTTTCATCACATTCAGGAAGCAGAAATAAATAATGGTGAAGTTTGGAAATTCAGAGCATAAATGAAAATAAAGATGACAACCAGAAACTGTCCCTGTCCAGGTTCTAAAGTATAAAACTTAACTGTGAGGTGTTCATTCCCTTACAATATTAAATCTGACCTCTGGAACACATTTTCTAAGTGCTATTTTGCTTTTGTTTTATATTACAGGGACCTCTTTTTTAGGTACATGATAATTAAAGATCACTTCACTAGAACATAGAATGATTTTGTGTTTGGTTTTTCATGTGAAACCCATCCACAATACTACACATCCTCTTCTGAGTATGAGAACACAATCAGGTTTTTAGGTCTAGTAGGACTTTTAAGATCAGAAGACTTTCCCACTATAAAATCACTTAGTGTTTGGGTCACATCGGAGGGGTTCTGTTTGTTTGCTTGCCTATTTATTTTTAACAATTATATGTTCCATCCAAATTATTTTGTAAAAAACATGTAATTTGTATGCAAGTTTCTTTACAACATATCTGCACAGAAATATTACTGATTTCCATCTTCACTTTGTTGTAAAGTAAGTCATTAGGGTTTGCATGGTCTTTCCATATTTTTGTATCACCATTTAGGAAAAAAAAATCTCTTGGATCAAAGCAGGTGTGTTCTGGTATCTAACCAAAATAAAGAGAAGACCCAGTGGAGAGACTTGCAGATTTATATTTATGAAAGAATTGTGTCTCTGTTTTTGTTGGTAGTGACTGGTTATGTACAAGTGATTGTACAGCCTGTCAAAAACTTCGTCTCCCCTCCTCCCAATTTTTGGGTTTTTTCCCTGTATGTCTTAAGAAAGATGAAATTCGTAGCTTTTTCATGTAATTTTTCTTCAGCTCTAAGAAGAAAGCTATGTGTGGTTTTAAATTAAATGTTTAAACAGGAAAAACTTAAACATTTAATTATGTAGATTTTATAAATAGTAGAAAAGCTGAAGAATTTACATTTACTTTTACAACTTCATTTCATCTGCTTTGTACATGAGTGTCTGGTTTCAGTTTATCAGCTATAAAAGCTACTAAATGTACTGCTTTTGTTACAGACATCTGTGCTTTTGAGATTTTTTAAAGTTTGCTTTTTTTGCTTCAGGTTTTTTTGTTGTGTAAGAATTGACAAAAGCTTTCTTATTTCCATCTGCCATCCATTTAAAAACTGCTCCTTCCCTCTTCATGGATTATAACCCTTACCCTAATTCTGCCTTTACACTTGTTCAGGATCACAATCTGCTAATACCATTGGTGGTAAGAATCTATAGACTTTGTGTATGCATCTCTTGTTTGATCACCTATTTTCATTACCAAGAATGGGTTCTATTCAGCAGAAAGTTTAAACATATAGTATTTCATCCTTCTGCATTCCTATTGGAGCAAAAATTGTCGATTACGGTTTTTCTTGGACTTATCCCTATTTTATGACCAACACCCTAAATTTTTAATAAGTATCCACATTGACTCCATGGGTATAAACATCCAAAAGAAAAGAAACCTTAGTAATGCTTTGGAATGCCATGAAAAATACTAAATACTAGTTTGAAAACTTGAGGCAATGCAGGAGAAAATAGTTATCTCTGTAATTTCAAGTTTTTAAATTAGAGTGCTTTCTGGTGGCGTGCTATTCCCTGGGTATTTCATGCTCTTTTTCATCAACTTTGTGGTTTTTTTCTTAAAAAAATAATTAGCCTTTGTGCCTCTTTGCTGAGGAAAGAACCTTGGTATTTTCTTCTAAGTATAAATAATTTCAAAATGAAGTGAGGTGCTGGAATTATCACACTTTTGGGGGAGATCAGAAGGTATTTGAGAAGAAAGGGTAATGATTAGAGCAAAATGGGCACCACTGATTTCATTTCCTAATAGAGGGTAGAAATGGATTTACACATAGAGAATAAACTTGCCTAAGTTGGATACATTCAATAAATCTAGAAAGAGCAGTTACCCTACTTGTAACTGTTTATTTCCTATCTGCTGAATAGACCCACATTTCAAGGAATTCTCCAGTATCTCCTACAAGTCCCTCTACCCCACCCAACCCCAAGTGCACATTGGTTTAACAGCACCGTATTGTATGTGCTCAGTCCATTATTTGTACTTTTAATACTGTTGCGAGTTCGCCCATCAAATACTCCATTGGCCTACCGTGCATTGTGAGTTTGTGGCATGTTGGGTGTTTGGATGTTTTGGTGTGTATGTTTAGTTTAGACCCTGCATGGAGCAAATAGGTACTTTATAAGTATCTTTAAGGTTATAACTTAAACCAGTTTTAAAGATTCTTCACCTAAAACATGAAACAATAAAAGGAGCTTTCTTTCTATTTTTAGTTTTTGGTTTTGTTTTTTAATTTTTAAATTTTTTGCTCTAAGGCACGTGCGCCCAGCAGAGAGAGACAGAAAGAAAGTGAGAAATCACCCCCCGGAACGGGGGATGGCCATGCCACAGTCCCTTCTTATCCAGTCTCATCAGGATTTGGGGTATACACACACATGCACGCGCTCATGCACAAGTGCCCTGTGTGATTTTTCAGGCCACTGGCCCAGGACTCCAACCGCATAGCCAGCTCTGCGAAGTCCAGCGCTTTAACCTCCACGCCACTTGCCGGCCCACAAGCTGTTATTGAAAAGTAGTCTTGAATTCATTTCCCTACCATAGTTTGGAATTCCTTCTACTCAAATATTAAATTGTTAATTTCATTGGAAACACTGCTTTGTTTTATAATATTTCCATCGCCAGTGGAAGACAAAGTTTTTTGGGGATTTTTGCACTGTTAAATTTGAGGAATTAAACAGGAGTACAAATTAAACTCAGGAAGACCACAGCAAGAAGACCGTAACTAGAGTCAGCAACAGATGGACCATTTCCAGCCTGCCTTCATTAATGGATTCTTTGGACTACATAATATGACAAAAATCAGAAATTTTGAAGTTTTCATTTTTAAAAAACCCCCAAGACCTGGCCAGTGTTAATTCAAGACAGCTGGCTCAACCTCTGTCTTGATCATAGACACAACCCCCGTGGTCACAGCCCTGCCCTCAGCACTCCTCCCTCCTTCCCATCCTGTACTTGTCCGCATTGACAGAGTCTTTAATCTTCGCTTTGTGGAAGTGAAACGTGATTGGGTAAGACTGTATGGCTGCGTGAGCAGTGACTCTTAATGGGGAGGGGAAGCAGTGCCCTATGTAGGGATCACTTTTCCTGAAGAGTTATTTCAATGTAAACTTAACTTTTCTCTAGAATCTAGAGTTAGATTATGTCTTGGAGTTACCTAGACTGTTTTCGTATTCAATATACACACAAAATATGTTAGTTGACCAAGAATTTATTTCCTTAACAGTTAACCTACGTGTTTCTAGTTTAAAATTATGTTTTAAATTTTAAAAAATTTGCGCCTGTCTCTGAGAACGTTTTGTCCAGTTCCTTCTCGCTATCTCTTTGATTACATTTCCTCTTTCCAAGACTGAATGGGGAAATGTCCTGACTTCTTTGACATTTGTCCGTTAGTTCTATTCTACCCTTAGTCCTTCTGCATACCAGAATGTGGCCACCCAAGAGCCCATTGCTATTTCAAAGACAAACAGCAGAAAAGCAATCTTCTTTTTCAGCTGGCCCAGTGTTTTGTCAACATTTAAATTTTAATTCTGTAAAGTTTTTTTAAGAATTATTTTATTTAACTTTAATTAATTAGCTAATTAATTTTGGCCAGAGAGGGATTGGAGGGGCAAGCTGCCAGGTCCGAGATTTGAACCACAGTCGGCCATGTGGGAGTCCCGCACCCTCAACTACCACGCCACCTGCCGGCCCCAAGATTTTAAATATACCTAATAACAAGATAACTTTAGCCATACAGAGTCATATCAGCAGGCAGACTCTTTTAAAAGGAGGAAAATTATCATTATATATTCTTAAAAGCAGTAATAGTATTAAGGTTTCTTCTTTTTAAATACAGCTTTTTCAGACAGAGCTTTTTGGCCATATAAATCGTATTGTCAGACGAGTGATTTCTTTGGCAATCTTTTATAAAAATTGTGTTAAAAATATCACGATAGTGTTGCCCTTATACCCCCAACTGAAAATATATTTTAGGTGATTCACTATTCAGTACTAGTATATATAGTATACTTTTTTTTCCCCTCCAGGTTACAATTAAATGTAAATCTTTCTTTGGTTCATTTCCTTTGATTTAGAACCTGCCATCCTTGGACTTTCACCCTCTCAGCAAGTTCCGTAGAGGTTCACATAATAACGTTTGTATGTGTGTTTGGTGTCCAGCTGGAAGCCGGTCCGGGTCTCCAGGAAGAGTTCTGACCACAACAGCCCTTTCCACTGTGAGCTCTGGTGTCCAAAGAGTCCTGGTCAATTCAGCCTCAGCGCAGAAGAGAAGCAAGATTCCACGGAGTCAGGGCTGTAGCCGAGAGGCTAGTCCATCAAGGCTTTCAGTGGGTAAGATTTTCTATGTGAGACTCTCTTGTATTTCAAGCTTTGGTAGCATTGAAGACTTTATAGAATGTGGGGCCAGCAGGTGACGTAGTGGTTATGGTGCTGGATTCACACATGGCTGACTGCAGTTCAAGTCCTGGACCTGGCAGCTTGAAAATCACATCAGGCATGTGTGCATTTGTGCCCAAAAATCCCAGTAGGAGAGGAGGAGAAGGGATCATGGTGTGGCCTTCCCCTCTGGGAACGTAATTTATCTCACTGTCTCTCTCTATTTATCTCTGCTGAACACACACATCCTGTGGCAAAAAACTTTTAAAAAAAAAAAATGTAATTAGGCATTTAAAAGAGGAGGGACCGGCAGTTGACATAATGGCTATGTCGCTAGACTCCTATATAGTTGACCACGGTTCGAGTCCTGGACCCAGTGGCTTAAACTTAGGCCGGGCACATGGCCATCCCTCTGCGGGGTAATTTCTCACTTTCTGTCTTTCTGTCTCTCTCTGTCTTTCTGGCGCGTACATGCGCTCTATAGCAAAAACCTCTCCCCCATCAAAAAAAAAAAAGTTAGAAGAAAACAACTAAAAATTCAAAGAGAGCTAAAAAAATAGTTTATTAGGTACCTTTTCTTGAACATGCAATTATAGGTGCTTTGAAAAATACAGCTAATATTTTAACACGAGGTTATTACATACACAGAAAAGTCTTTAGGTATATATCAATATGTTTGCTTATGTATGACATTTGTATTATAGCTCAGGCCTATTTACATACTAGTAAATTGGGTTTTTGGTTTTGGGGGGTTTTTTGTTAATGTATTGACTAGGATACCTTCAGCTTCAGGTAGCAGAAATTACAGTTGAGGAAGCCGGCGCGGGGCGCG